ATTATGAATATTTTTTTTTTTTAAATGGCTGGGTGAATTTCATCAAAGTTGCTAATACCCTTCCATTGTTTATTTCCTTTAAAAAAAATATGATTATATTATTAAAAATTGATAGCATAGAAGATTACTTTAAGATGAGAATAAATTGTTGATACATGGCAATTCAAATAACAATTATGAATTGACATTTACTAAAAAAAGGGATGCCTATTCAAATAAATAGGAAAATTAATAGAAACTAAGTCAGATACTGTATAAGAGGTGTAATAATCAATAAAGGAATAAAGTCAGAAATTTAAAATGTAATTCATTTAAGCAAAGGAAATGAATTATGAAGTCTAAAAAGCTAAAATATAATGGTAAATAGAAGGGGTAATAGCAGGAATACTTGGCAGATATTTGAAGGTATAATTTAATTTTTTTGTTAGCTTAATTTTAGATTAAATAACTGATAAAATGAGAAAAATAAGTTAGTTATAGAAGCTTATTATTCTTTATTCTCAATAGGCTATTACAATTATATAAAATTAATAATAGAATTCATTAAGATATTATTTAATTTCAGCAGTAGAAAGACTTAATTTAGCATTCAAAAGGTCACTTGATTATGGCTTATATTATGATTCAGTTTGCATTAATATAATATCTTTATAAGAATCTATTTATGAATTACTTTAGGATTTATTTTAAAGAAAATAAAATGCTAAATAAGGCTCAAATAGTAATATACTTGAAATGATAAAATTGACATCCTCCAATAATTATTTCAGAAAGTGATGACAAAGATGAGTCTTATTGTCTTAGCATTCCAAGAAGAAATTTTAAATTAGATAGCCTGTTTAATTAGACTAAGTTATGTAGATATTTGAGAATATAACTATATAATTTCACTTGTCACTCTTTTTATTATGATATTAAAGTTGTTGTTTAACTTAGAGAATAAAAATTTATAATAGATTTGATAATCCTAACAATTTTAAGTAAAAGATTAATACAATTAATTTTATAAAATATTAAATTTATTCAATCATCCCCTAAAATTAGCAATACTATTTTTTGTAAAATTAAGATTCATTATTTTATAATTATGATATGCTCTGCTATTTATCTTGATGTAGAGGGAGCGGAGTAATTAATTATATGGAATGTATTATGGAAACTGTATAAAAAAGGAATACATTGATAAAAATTTCAAGAATTATATTTACAATAAAAAGTTATAATTATAATTATCTATTAGCACTCTTTACGGATTGTGATGATCGAATGATAAACGAAATCAAAAAGAATAAATAAATTAATAATACATCTAACTCTAAACATTGTTATCATAGGGATGGCAGAAGCAGCTAAAAATTATTGTAGAGCTTCTTATAAAATTGGAAAAGAAATAATTGATAAAGGTTTAGATAAAGTAAGAAATAAGTCAAAAGTGTTGGCAAACTATTAATTCATTATCACTTCTGCCTTAAGCGTTAGCTTATACTTCTATGCTTTTGGAAAATATCTCTGTTGAATATGGAGTAAAGGCTGAAAAATGCCTTCTTAATATACCCTTCTCAAGAAATATCCAATAATATAGTGGATACCTATAATGCTGTTTTAGCCACTCATATGACTTAAGATTATTTGTGACTCTTTAATAATGCTTGATAACCAATTAATGTCTAAATCTATAGGTTTACAGATTGGTTTGGATTATGTTGATTATACTCACTTAA